CGATATCTTCCTCAAATTTTCCATCACTGGTGAACACGACTCCGAGGTACTTGAACTTCTCCTGCTCAGCTGCCTCTCCGTTAATCTGAAGTGAACAACAGGCAGGAAAACGAGAAAACACTGAGCGTTTTAGATGCTGCGTTCACACGCATATCGGTCACGTCGCATTCGGCTGCAAACCTTTCTAGGGAGCACTATAGATCAGTTTCAGAGGATGCCAGTAAAGCAAGGTTTTCTGCAAGCGGGAAACTTCTCGTCTTCACATCTCCTACACCGATACACTCATCGCCTTGGCTGCTCCTGGCATTATTCTATACGTGTACAACACAAGCAGGACAGGGACAGGACGCAGCCTCGTCAGAAACCAAGCTTAATACTTAATACCAAATCATAATTGCTAGGGTAAGGTTATTACGTATCTAACGGCATGGCTCTCATGGATGGTAGGAAAAATATTCTTTGTGCTTCCAATGGTGAATTGTTAGTGGTCTTGTAACACGCTGAAAAAGTTTTCATCAAGTTCGATTATCGCATGTTCTTTTGAAGGGCAGAGTCAGTCGCATCAGACAGTGTTCAACGTTTTCAATCCCGTGCATAGTGTGACCTTCGGTAGAAGATAACTTGAACCTGGAGCAGAGTCCGTCGAGACAGTTGGCTCAGATCATTCTTGACTGTCCCCTGGGTCTTCGGTCAGGTGGTTTTGCAAGTAATAGCAGTTTCGCCTTCCTTTCTTGAAACGTTCGCAAGACGTACTCAGATCATCGAAGCTGTGACTCCTCAGTCTGAAATGTCGCGGTTGTACATCAAAGCTCTCTCGGATATCTGAACTCCGGATCACGTCGAGATGCAGCCCAGTTATTCGTCTCAGAAAGCCCATTTCAGCTGCTTGTACCCGGCCTCGAAATTTCTGTCATGACCCACGACTGCTGTCCATAGACGAACATTGGAATGACCATCGAATCGAACAGAGACAGCTTAATTTTCAGACTCAGTTCTGCCTTATTCATAGCGGTTTGGTCTAGTTGACGAGAACTACATTGGAACACATCAGAATAGATTACACAGTCTTTGGAAGAAGTTGACCAAGTTGACGAGCGTTAATTTCATAAAATATAAGAGTTAAAATGAATCTGTTGAAAGCAGCAGATCAACAGCAATAACAGTCCAGTGGGAAGCAACGGTCCTAATGGAAATGAAGATGAACATGGGCAGCGTCATCAACAGATTCAGCTCTGACTTCATCAGTGGATCGAGTTAATCAGTAAAGGAAATGTTGTAAAATGCCACTCGCTGTTCCAATTCGCCTGTCTGCCTCTTCTTCCCATGTTCCATTCCCGATGAGTACGATCCTATTGTAGGTGAATTTTTACAATACTATACGATAATTCATGTAAATTTTTTTCCAGTGCTTCGCCATAAGATCATACCGATACTCCCTGCTTGCAGTTAATCTCACTGAATTGAAACAACCGTTTAGTCTTATCCTAAAATGGTTCACTATCTTATGCACAAGGAGACATCTTGTTTAGCGCCGAGAACCTGCTTTATGGTTATCAGATGTTCAATTTAAAGTGTGTGGAAATATTCCAAAGTGTGTTTATGTCTCGATTTATCATAAGGAGTCGCTATGCCAAAAATACGAGGATTTTAAGTTTTAGCGACAGTTTATTTAATTCGCCCACGAAGGCGATCACGTGAACCAGTACATGTTTCGCTGACTTGACGACCGGTTATAAAGTGAAGTCTTATTCCTTGCAGACGATTGATGAATCCCATTCCAAAATGAAAATTTTCCTTTCCCGCAATTTAGCGAGTCCATCGTTTGCAGCTTAAGTGGTTTTTGCCTTTCAGGACTTTTGCACCGCTGTAATGCATAAACGATCGTTTCTTCTCATCTGAGAGTTCTTGTAACCATGATGAGCATGGATTGAACAATTTTTACAGAAATCTCAAACGGGAGTGTTAAGAAGCGGAGCAGATGAAATTTGCTTACTTAATGTTTTAATTTGAACTACATTTGCTCCGATCGTTGGATCTTAACGCATGCGCCTCATCCACCTGAAAATTATTCTCTCCAAATGAGCGGAAACTTTTATTGGAAAATTAAGAAAAGTTTATGAACGTTGCAATTCTTCCTTGATTTTCGTGATTGGGGCATTTTGGCGCCCGTCTTTTCATGAAGTTGAAGGTACGGTCAGATTTCCGTTCCTCTGCCGTTTGCCAGGAGTAGTTTACTTCCAAATACAGAATTTACAGTCGTGTTAAATGTACCTTGTTGTCTCCTGCTTCCTTCCAACATGGTTTCCTTCCTCATTTATCAACCTCGTTAGGAAGAAGGTCGAGTGACCTCGACCGGGGATTGAACGTATGACTATCGGTTCTGAGTTTGACGCCCTACCGACTGAGCAGCCCTGGTCTAGCATATTAATATGAGCTTTATTTCAAAATAATCTGTTATGAAATGTCTTTATTTTCAATCCGTTGTTCATCATTTTAGATTTTTAGCGAACACCGTTTGTATATGTGAACTGAAATATGTAATTTTCTTAATTCCGCCACCTTCAAAATTTCCCTTGTTTATTCGGGAAGAACCAGCCAGAAATTCCCACAAAGTAGAATGTCTTGTCATTCATAGCACTGTTAGCTGAATTTACTTTTGTCTTTACATAAAATGTAAATTTCTCAGCTTCAATTTATTGCATTTCTTACTGTTCGAAGGATTCCTTTCGAGAAGAGAATACAAAGTGTCTGCTATTTTACAAAGCCGTTGAGATTTGATAGTGCTAAAAGTTCAGTTGGTTTCAGGTAAAATTATCATGCACACTGGCGACTTTAAGGCGACATTTCAAAATTGTCAATGTTCTAGGGCTTGACATTCAATGACGGGTGTGTATGCATTTCTGTCATGGGAGCAGCAGCAGTATATGCTATCTTCTGTTCATAAAGCTGACAGTATGATTCAGTTGGGATTTGCATCTCAGTTTGCTTGAATAGTAATTATTTTTCCACTTCAGTATGTTACTTCGAATATACTCGGTATCCCACATTCGGTCTGGTCGCCTTACTCTGTTCAGAAAATTGATGGCATGATTGAAAGTTTCAGTTTAAAATTTAATGATTGACAAATTCTAGTCATAAATTTAATATTCTTATGGAGAGTGTCCTCTTATACATAAATCCTTGAAGGGTTTGAAATTTTGCTATTCGCTGACTACTGTTGCTTCACTAGCGACCATTTTGGAGCTGATGACAAGCCTTTGTTGTGCTCATTTGGAATACGGTAGGTTGTTTTTCTTCATTAACCCTTTACTATAGTCGTTGCAGCCTTCCGCGCAATAAGCAAACGCGCTGAATTTGATTTTCTAGGTCCAGAGCAGGAATGAACTGTTATTAAAAGCAGATTTTTTCAGATTGAGTTAAGTGATAAATTATATTTTTTTAGCTGGTTAATGTTACTGGTTAATAAGTTTAAGTAATGAAGTAAGAATGTGTTAAATTTTGCTCTCGTTGATTTTTCAAAGCATATCAGTTCGAATTCGGCACGGTTTGGGCCAAGGTTCTGGGTTAATGTATTATGAGTTACTGTTCCCGAGATGCGGTTCGTAACAAACTTGTGCAAAATCGGATATTTTAATTTAGTAATGTCTCACGTGTCCTATTTTATGTTCGATGGTTTTACTTTAGAGAGCTTATGTTGTGCAGTTTTATCCATTGGTAATGATGTACAGTTGTTTTAGCAGAATTGAATTTTCGTCGATTTGGGCATACAGCCTGTTGCATGTAACCTTTATTGTGTGTATGCAAATTTTATATCATAGTTTGCTTCAGATTTTCAAAACACAAGCTGTAATAATTGCCTCGTTGCTGTGGATTAAAGGAATATAACTTTTTTGTATGCATCAGAAATAGCGTCTCGACTGTAGATTTGTCATATGGGTTAATTCTGTATGTGAAAAACTAGGCAGTTTAATTTAGCTATTTGCCTCGTCTTTAAGAAGTCGCTGTTTCCCGATATTAAATGTTTGGAAAACCCGTGTGGAGGTTACTGGCAATGAATAAGCATTTTTTAGGGTGAGTGGATTGTAAAAGAAGGAAGAAAATCAAGGAAAAGTCATTATACCATCCAAGAAAATCACGAACGAACGGGTTCCCCTACATTAGAAGATCATCGCCGTCAAAATGAGGTTATTGAGATTGGCCAGGGCAGGTTCAGTGGGAATCGCAGGGCACGAGGTACTGCCCGAACCTTCAGCCAGGGCCCGCCTCCGCGCTTCCGAGGCCGAGGATCGGGATGCAAGGAGATAAACGGTAGTATATTAATGTGTGTTTTTTGAAAACCGATCGATGACAGGTAAAGAAAATGTAAGTCCTGACGGAGCCGTGGAAGGTACGTCCACGGAGGCAGTAAACGACAGATCGAGCGCACGCGGAAGGATATACAGGGGGCGTGGCTTTAGCAGTCGAATCCGCGGCCGAAAGGGAAGTCGGTATGTCACTTTCTGGTCAACAGTATTAATACTGACGTTTTGTTGCTACATATACATAAGCGGGCTGTCAGTTTTCCGGTAAATTTCCTATAATGAAATGCTGCCGTTTAGAATGCCACTGAAGCGTACTTTAGTAGATATCAAGGGCTCAATTTTTCTTAGTTTGGATTTCATGCTCTGCAGAGTTTAGACAGGGCGATTATCATCGAAGCGATATACATCATAGAGGTAGCGATTCCTACCTGTTGTTTTGTGGTAGAAATGATCGAAAATCTTACATAATCAGCCCTCTGCTGTCTTCAACTTCATATAAGAATTTTTAATTGGAGCGTGAATGGTCAATAGAAATGTTCTGAAGCGCTCACTTAGCCTTACCGGTTAATGATTGCGGAAATAAAAGCGTCATCTCTGACAAGGTGCCAGTTTGTGAATTGTTCTGAGATGTTTCTTTCAACGTAACCTCCTGAAGTACCGCAGTTGAAACCTCCATTGAATTTTGAGTGCTAACTGTCGAAAGTACTATCCAGACGCTTCTATTCAAAAAGGATCAAGCAATCGTTTTACTTCTGTGATGCCAGTGACTGACCATTTTTAACGTAACATACGTACAGAAAGGTCATAAGCAGCAACGATATACGCACTTTAATAATAAAGAACATTTGCAACAAGGTGATCTCCGTTTGTATTTTCTAAATTGATGCAAGTTTTTTGACTAGGCAGCCTGCGATCGATCCAGATTAGGCAAGATAAATGTGCTGGCTCGAACCATTTATAAATCTCTATCTTTATCCTACAGTTAGTTCGTTTGCCAACTTGTCGACTAAGGTGAGAGTGACAATGTGTTCTTGATTCGTGAAGGGATGCGAAAAATCACTTGTTTTTGTAGTGAAGCAAATGATTGCCGATAAGATATCGTCTACGGGGGTTATGGCGATTTGTTCATACGGTATTCGTATCGTCTTAGAGAAAGCTGATTAACAACGGTATCACAGTTAAGTCTCTGCGGAACAGCGATTGAAAGAAATAGGGCACTGCCTGTGTATGCCACAATTGCGCCAGTAGTGCCAGCGATATTTCAAAGGTGCTTTAATCTTAAAGCGAATCACCTTAGTCTTCTCGCTCAGTCCACCTGTCACGGTAAAATTGACGTGTATTGTCAAGGTCAAGTATTGATTAATTTACTCCTTACCCTTAAGGAAGCGCATCCAAATGCGATCGATCACGAATTTTAAGGGCAGAAGGCGCACTAAGATTAAGTGTATTCTTATGCTATAATCTATGCATAAGATTATATATTCTGCAGCTTGGGTGACATTAAAGTTATGGCAAGGTTAGAAACCCATTCAGTACGGAATGGTCTAGTGAATTTTTAAGACGAAAAAGTAATGTTAGGGTGGTTTCGATTTCGATGGGCTATTTCTGATCGAGTTATGGCCCGCTTTTTTAGGGATTGTGATGGGATTAACTATTTCAAGCAGAAATATGTGCATGTTTTTTCTTTAGTCTTCTTAAGGGCCATGTCTTTTATGTTCGAGAACTGCAGTTACTTATACTGTCATCGTCTGTAGTCTGCAGATCAGTAGTCATTATCGATGGCCTAGAGTTGAATTCAACGTTGTTCTGAAGTTTCACCAGGATTTTTTGCTAGTCCGATAAGTGAAGAACAGTTGTCGACCGATTACTTTTATGTCGCAGTTATAGTTTTGAAAAACATAATACTCCTTAGCAGTTTGCGCATCTTATTGTATTTTAGTGGAAGTAGAAGACCTGGCAACGTTTCTTCTGGATTCGAACGTATTGGAACGTGGAATAACTATCGAAAATCTGAAAGTGAATTATCGGACACTCACAGACATCTTTTACAATCGTGCTTTCTGTTTTAGCCTGGGACTATAAAACTAGTAAAGGGGCGGTTGATGTTCGTGACATTGACGAGTGGAAGGATTCTAGCACTTGGGACAATTCTATGGCCGCAAACGCGATCAACGTAAATCGTGCCGGCAGCGGAAGTATATTGAACAGTAAGATCGACGAGTGGTCGCCAGATGACTGGGGCGAAGGCGATGATGAATGGGTATGCGGACGGTTCTTGCATGCGCTTTTGTCACGTAACCGAGTAACGTTCACATAATTTTATGTTCTGAAGGTTCGTGGTCCACGTGTTTTCACAGCGTCCAACATGGAGTCGAAGGCGCTAACGATGGTCGGTCAAGACACATGCTTGTCTGACTTGGTTCATTCACTCGAAGCGTCGTCCAAAGCTACGGGTAATGGGCAGTTTTGCAGCGAAAGGTAGCGTTACTTGAAATCAGTCTTCCCTTGTTGTATCACGTTGCCTTGTGAATTCCTCGTCGTTTAGCATCGATGTAAATCTACTGTTCACGCAAAAATCCGATGATTCCACATCTCACGTCAGCTGCGTCCCTGTAGTCAGCGAAGGCGATTGGTCGAAGCACGCGGCGGACACCATCAAAAGCGAATTAGGAGTAAGTCATCACTGATTTACGCAAAAGTTCGTGGCCCATATTTTTCGGCCTCTGATGAGTCCCTCTGCTCTCACTCAAGCCTGTCTTTGCTTGTTTAGATCGGCAAAGCGTTTGCAGAACCGCTGGACACTGCGTCGCGCATGTTGTCACATGAAAGCTTTTTGAGATACCACAAAGGGATCGTCGGAAAGGTAACTGCACCTGTCAGAACGTTTTAGTTATACATGGGCGGGTATCTGCCATATGAAATTTTTTCCACAATTTAAACTGCTTTTCGAACTTCTCAGATATAGTCTAACAGCGCCGGGACAAGGATTTGATATTTAATCAAACAGCTACTTTCCTTCAATCAGACCACTGTCAAATGCTCGTGCACTTCATCTTGTAGTGAACCCCTAAATGCTTTATCACAAAATAAATTCGTAACTGGCTTATTTTCGGTGCCTGTCGCTGCTTTGGATTTCATCGTTCTGCTGTCGCTTAGTCATATGCTAGGGTATTTTCATTTTCATTATCTGTTTTCTCTTCGTGTAGTCCGGTTTGAAGGCGTAACAGAACGATGGCCACGGAAACAGAGAGAAGCAGCAACATTCGAAAAATTTATTATTGTTAATTAATGATTGCAGGAATTTCCGGAGGTAATTAGGTAAAAATAGAACGCACGTGAGATAAGGAGCGGCGTTGTCTGATGTTAAACGATGAATAGTTCGGCGACAGAAACTTTATGAACATCAGTAAGAATGATGACTGTCGATAGTAATGCTTGAGCAAATTTCTGATCATGAAGTAATGAGGTGGTCTTCCTAAATTTTCTCCAGTCTACGAAGTCTTTTACCGTCTTCTTCAGCATCATTTCATATTTTATGTGCATAGTACATATGTACCTCTCTTTGACATTGCGGCTTGTTACTAGGGTTGAGAGCGTTCTGACTGCGCACCTTCATGATTAACATTCTGATGATCTTTTACTATCATATAATCGGATTTTGACAGTGTAATATTTATTGCACTGTCATATTAGTTAAATACGTTATATCGCGAGATCAATTCATGTTGCCGGATTTGTGGGCCTTCATATGCTCTTCCCACCGTAGAATTTGCGCGAGATGGTAAAGAATGGCATTATAATAGAGTCAAACGATCGGTATCACAGTGGATTGAGAATATTGTAAGGTCGCATTTCAGTCCAAGTTCACTTCAGAATTTTCTGTGACATTTTCTAATGCGTTGTCACTCTGTCAACCTTCGTTCTTTTTGCAGAAAGTCGACATCAGGTCATAACGCGTTCTTTGGTTGTGTATGCCCTATGACCTTCATGTTTCGGTGCGCAGATTGAGTGTCCTTTGGACAGAACTCGATTAGATGCTAGAGCTGCCAGTTTTGATGTAGCGTTCCTGATGATGTATTTCCAGGCAAAGCCGAAGAATCTTAACTTAGAAGTTCACTGTTGCGCTACTCTGTCGATATGAGATGCAGTAAAGCATTGCCAATTTCATTTACGGGCTTACGGAAGTTCTGATCGGTATTTCACATACCTTCGTCATGAAATCTATGCTGTTTGTATTGTGATCTTTCCGAATCATCTAGCGATGGTTGCTACCCACAATTTGAATACCATGATGATTTGACTGACAAAAGCGTTGCCATGTTATTATTGTGTTGGTCACTTTCACGTTATGTTAAACTGTGCTAAATTAACCGTGCTTTGTTTTGTTTTTAAAACGGCTCTTTACTTTTGTTTGTCAGCTTTTATTTACCTGCCTACTCTTTGAAATCGTTTTCATGGAGGAGGTACTCTGCAATCTTCAGTGGTATAAACAACAAGAAAGGACCTGAAGATAATAGGTCTTCTTATTCCATGGTTGGCAGCACGAGAAAACAAGATAGAATAGTTTTGTTTACATTTTCTTCTTTTCTCGTGTTGCCAACCATGGCATCGGAAGACCTATTACCTTCAGGTCATCTGCGGCGCTATGTCGTATGAGCCTTAGAAACGAAAAGACCTGTTTCATTTATGAAGTAGAAATGGTAGAGCGAACGTTTACTTCGGCTTTGTGCTACCTACCTTCGCGCTATCGTTATATCGTTTTTCAACTTCAAAGGAAATAAGTGTTAAATGATAAATATATAAGTTAAAAACATCTTGCCACAGGTATTGACGTTTTTGACCAAGCTCCGTTCGTCTTCAGAGTAATTATAATATTTGCATGACCTTATGTTGATGCACACGATTAATGGGGCCGCGCTTGTTGTTCGCCCCGAGTGACAGTTTGGTGCTTTCGGTCTACGTACCGCTGGTTGCGCGGATCAGCAACGCTTTTTGATTTTACAGGTTTGACATCGTTTTATCGACACGAAATTTTTCATCTAATCCCAAAATGTCATATGTTGATATATTACGGCATGATTTACTGTAGCTGAGAGTTTTGACATTCCGCTTTGATAATCTTTGAATCCTTTGTTTTTTTTATTCCTCTGTCTTCTTGTTTTTGAACTCTTTCTCTTACATTCGCGTTGTTTTGGTAGGTCTTTCTTAGATAGTACGTTTCACCAGTGTCCCCTGAACAACAGGAGTATGGGAACTTGTACACCCAGCCTTGTTTCTGGTCTTCAAGTGGCTGAGACGGTTGCTGGGCGTCATGCAAGGTTTTAAGCAGTGTTCATGTTGATTTTCAGTGTCGTAACTTTTCGCTTAGATTACGAGCGTACTACAAGGTTGTATAAATCGTACTTTCAGCTGAGTTGCGAGGAGCTGTTTTCCCGATTGATTTGTCAGAAGTTTTTTGAGCTTCACTGGGTAACTATTTTCTTGCTAAGTTAACCGGATGTAGTTCAGTTCTTTGTGGAAATCATCTTCTGTGGCCCAAATTTTCCGACATCTGTGGAGCGGTATATTGATAACACCTTTCTTAACACTTTTAGGATGATAAGTGGAGTAGTACAGATGCCGATTAGTGTTTTCTTGCGATACACTTTGGTGGAATATCCGTGATGTTGCTATTTCACAATCATACGTAGGAACGGTAAACTGTCATTCTTCTCCATGATGAAAGGATTATGCCCGGAAAAAGGCTGTTCTGATGTTCAAGGAGCGGCGCTTCCTCTGCTTTTTCGCAGTGCAAAGAGCTGGTGCTGATGTAGAGACGTTTCGTATAACTGATTCCAGTCTAAGCAGATACGAAGATTCTCTGAAAGACCTGGAAAGCGGTGAACGCTCATCCATCATGAAAGCGTGTAAAAGGAAACGCACCAGTAATTCTAGACAAAGGGCAATATGTTGCCAGCTGTGAAACACTAATCAGCAAAGGGCACAGGCGGTTGGACGAAAATCCAATAGATCGACTGGTAGAATGCCTGAACAGAATGATCGCAGGGATAAATGAGAAATAGGAAATGGATACGACCCATTCAAACAGCCTATTACTTAGGCTACGTTGCAAAGGAAACTGGTCCGTTCCAAAAATGTATTATCTACCAACATTTCACAGGCCCAACTTCCCGATCAGGCTTATATATTCTTCATCAATGTGCACCTCAGCTGATCGCAGGACTGCTTCGCTCCATTATCCACTCTTATACGGATAAGGGAACTAACATGTTAAGAACTTATCAACGTTTGTCCATCAGGTCATTTTGCGGAAGAATATAAGCAAAGACAGTGGTGAGCTACGATTTTAGACCTCCTCCCTCATATTTCCATGAAAGATTGGGTCTAATTGAAGAACTACTGACGAAAAACGCTGACCTTGAAAACAAAATAGCTTTCTCCGTGAGTTCAGTGCTAAATCTACGCACAATGGTTTATTGAGTTTAATCTCTTCAAGTTTCACGGTCAGCTTTATCGCCAGTAGAAAGGAATCCCCATGTTAAGTCCCTTGTCCCCTGCTTTATCCAATCTATTCATTGAACACCTGGAAAATTGGCCTTCACCATCTTCATCATCTTTCATCGCCGCTGCTCCTTCCGGGTAGCGGAGGCACCACGTCAGACAGAGCTTACAACGTTCCCCATCCTGTGCCAGAGTCTGAGCTTCGGCAAAAGACAAATGGAGTCTGGAACAGACTCCTTTCATATATTTGCACCAGGTTAATCTTGGCCGTCCCCTGGGCCTTCTGCCGGGCGGATTTGCAAGAAACAGTTGCTTAGCCTTCGTTTCTGGAGGCATTCGCATCACATGCCCAAGCCATCGCAGCTGTGACTTCTCAATCTGGAAAAGCAAAGGCTGTACACCAAGGCTCTTCCGGATGTCACTATTCCGGACCATATCTAGACGCGTAAGGCCAGCGACTCGTCTAAGAAAGCCCATTTCAGCAGCTTGTACCCGGATTCGAAGTTTTT